ATTGTTTTGCCTGTAAGCTCAGGAATGTGCACCAGATTACACTAGCCTGCCAGTACAGGAAGAGCACTGGACTGGGAGTCTCAAAGGCTATCTAATCCCATCTTGTGTCTTTGGGCAGTTCACAATCTTTCAGGATATCTGTTTTCATCTGTGACATGAGGGCCATGGACCAGATAGGTGATTTCAAAGGTTCCTTCCAGAACTATTATTTCTATGATTCTGTTTCTATGGTAACATTTCAGCAATAAGAGAAATGTTGCCTTCCATATCACTGTCCTCAGATATTAGTGATAACTCCAGACCCTCCTGGCCACCATTTAACCACTTGATTTGTCTTATTTGAATACATCATATACTTTCTATTTCCATTTTTTCTTTCTTTGTTTTCAATAACCTTCATTCATTTGGCATCTTTTATTTGCTAGATCATATCATTTATATTTTAACATTTATATATTATCTCTAATCCTTGTAATATTATAAGAAAATATAATGACTATTTTACAGATAAAGAAATTAAAGCTAAGACAGATCAAGGTCATATAAGTAAATTATGGTGCTAAGGTTTCTCTAATTTCATGACCTCTTTCCATTACACCCCTCTGCAATCTTGATAGGTTCCATGTTTATTTTCTGTTCTATGAGAAGTCTCAGTATGTTTCTCTATTGGTGTCTTGTGCTTTCATCCTCATTTGGCAGCCTGGCCTCTAGGGAAGGCCATACATGTTGCCCTGGCTGAGAGTCGGCTAGTGGCAGACTTACATACTCTCCCCAAATATAGGTTATGTACTATAGCTGTCAGTTCAAATTGAGTAGAAGGTAGTGAACACAAGTTTGTGGTCAGGTCACATCCTATTACTTAGTTGTTCCCTTATTCTCATTCTGCTGGAAATTCAGTCCAACAGAGATTTGAGGCCAAGCAATTTTTCAGGCACAGGGCAAAGCCCCTGGCATCAGTTGGATAGCTATTGCCAGGAACTTTTCCAACTTGGTGAGTCTCTTTTGCTGCTGTCTTCAGGCTAGAAGTTATTTACCATTTCAAAGGCCCTGCTGAAAACAATGGGGCAGAGGCTACTGAATAGTCTTTGGGGAATGCCTATTATATGTGATAGGGGAATGGTGTGTGTGTATTCAAAACCTCACCAGCAATTTTGAACTTTGTGCACTAGGATCTTGCTCCTTCCTGATGTGGCCAAGAGCCTTACAACCTGTATCGTGTAAGGCCGGGCCTCTATAGGCCTCTCTGCTCAGCTTTTCTTTAGTATAACCTGTATCCCCTTGAACTACCAAGATTGGTTGGTTGGCAGTAGGCACTGGGCATTCTGTGACTTCTGGATGATGCATTGCCAGTTACACTCAGGACAGGTGGGTCATTATAGGAAGCCTGCTTTCTTACTGAATAGAGAACTTAGGTTTTCTCATCACCAGTATGTGCCGTAGGCTGAATGAAGGTGTGTAAGGCCCTAGCCGCTGGTTTATGGTTAGAACTATTTGGGACTAAGCAGAACTACCAAATGCCCACGGTCACCAAAAAGAGGCTTTCATCACAAAATTAGTAACCATTTATTGACTGTTCTTAATGTGCCAGGCATTGGACAGTCATTATCTCAATTCATCCTCACATCAGCCCTATGACGTAGATAGTGTTATCCGCATTGTACAAATAAGAAAACTGAAGTTCAAAGAGATTAATGTATATAAGTTTACATAGCTAATTAGTGGTCGATCTGGGACCAAAATTGTGGTCTCTCTGACCTCAAAGCCTATGTCAGGACTTTCCCCTCCAGAGACCTCAGGGGAGGGGTTTAGGGCCCCCCCCCCCACTTCCTCAGTTTATTCTTCCCTCACCTGAGGCAGAATGTTTCAAGGCAAAGAAGAGGGCATGGGATCTTTGAAACTGAGGCCATTTGTGTCTTCCACTTAAATCCAGAAGATATCCCTTTGTGGTAAAGAATCATCCATGCACGTAAGATCTTTGGGACAGTTTGAAATAGGTAGGTGGGCTGTGAAGACAGTCTGGAGTCCAGGAGCTATCCAGGTAGCTGTATAGCCATTGGGATGATAATATTTCCATCAGTTGTATGTTACTTTCAGGAACTCAAAACTTTTATTCCCATGTCATTTTTGGAAGGTGAGTTCAAATTCCATCTTATAGAGAGAAGGGCTGAAGCTCAAAGAAGTTAGCTGATTGTCTGAGATCCCATAGTAAAAGTGGGACTCGTAGTTCAGTTCTCCATCTATCAGGCCTTCTGCAAGGACCCAGATTCCTGTGTACTGGGTATCATAGGTGGGAGTATAAGGACTGCTTAGAGAGCATGTGGCTGGTAGATAATTTACTGTCTTTAGAGCTACATTGAACTGAGGTGGTGAACATGGTTCTAGGAGGCCCACAAACCCAACAACTGATGAAAGAAGGTGGGCTTGTGCCAGGGTATAGATTGTTATCTGATGGATTGGGGAGGGATGTCCCCCTAGGAGGGGCCTTTGAAATTGCCAGGAAGCCAGAAATTGAGGCTGCAAATTATGGTAAAACCTAAGGTCTTTAGGCACGAGGACTCTGGGAAATTGACCTCTGCCTGAGTGCTACCCTTGCCGTGTCCCAGGCCAGTGTTGAGTGTGAGGCCCAAATAGGATATGTTCCCAAAGTCTGAAACTACAGGAAGCTAAGTCTGAGACTAGGAGAGTACCCCTAGTGTTCCAAAGTCCCAAATGGGCTGGGTCCCAGACCTGAGATTAGAATGTTTTCTTCTCTTGGAAATGTAAGGGAAGTGATATAGGCAGGTGATGGCAGGGGCTGGGTGAACACAAGAAAGGACCAGGGAAGGAGAAGGTGACACTGGGCAATGTCTGGACAGGGGGAGAGCTGAGATCATGTATTAAGTCCAGCCAGGCCCCTGGTTTCCTTCCAAGGAACTTACAGCTCAGGTGCCTTCTCTGCTTTCACCTCCCTGCAAGAAACTGAGCAACTTAATTCTGGCAAAAGCCAACTTTACTGAAAGGAAAAATCTCTGTTCTGAGCTATATCTTAGACCTTCTACTCTGCCCTGGCAAGAGGAAAGAAAGCGCAGGTGATCAAGGCAGCCTTGTCTGAGGCTTTCAGGATATAGCATCTTTTGACGTGCTGCACTTTCTTCTCAGAAATTGGCTTTAGCGTTGGTAGTTGCCTTTTGGCACCTGGCACCTCTTAGGAAAGGCTGAGCCCAGGTTGCTGGGTCATAGCATTGCTGAGCAGCTGCCCAGAGTTCAGGGTTTGGGAAAGCAGGTATTATTTTATTCTGCCTGATTCTTGGGGGATGGTCCCATCTTGCCTTTTTCTGGAATTTTGCCTTTTTCTGGTCTTGAGCCATTCACTTCTGAGCCAAGACCTTGGCTGTAGATATTCCAGCCATGAGCACAGTCCACGTGCATGAGAGGGCCAGATTACTTTTATGGGTGACTGGCGTAGCTGGGTCTTCCTGCTGACAGAGCTGACAAATGGAATTAGAAGCAAAGGAGCCAGCCTATATTATGTCTGTGGGACCCAGCTTGGCAAAGTGACCTTGAGGAGCCTGAGTCTGGACCAGCCAGAGCTTTGGTCTAACTGTCCGTTCCCCCCAAACTCAGGGACACAAGCGTTTGTTCTGCTTCCCTACTCTCTCTCCTCAGGAATTCTTGGCAGGCAGAAGTGTTTACTACCACGTGAAGTCTCCTCTTGCACAAGGCTGAGTTGGTGAAGTAAACAGCCCAGAGGCACCTTTATACCCCTCAGGAGTCTATCCTCAGTCCCTCTGGGCAGTCCTGACTCTGGTTCATTCCCTTTACCCCTACCTTCTGTTGGAGCTGAGCCTCCCTCATTATACTCATTCCTCCCAAGACTCCCTACTGAGCTGGGAGTTCCCCATGACATGGTAGCCTTCCCTTCCAGGTCGGATCAACTTGCAGAATAGCTATCATCCAGATTACCAGAGTGAATAATCATTCTCTCTCCTGGTCTCTCCTTTCTGTCCAGCTCACTTCTTCTAACTTGATATAGAAAATCTATATCTTCTGATGTAACTAATCATTGTATAACACAAATATAATTACCTTCAAGCTGGAAAGATAGTACTGCACTCTCTAAATACTAGTCTGATCTTGCTAATAATGGACATGACATATCCAAAATAGTTTTTAATACAGTGGGCAGCAGGGGCCAGGCTAAGTCACTTCTGAATATTTGTGACATAACTAATTGTCGTTGCCTTTGGTTTGTGGTCTTATAAGCTGAAGGCACTTCAGGACTGGCTTTGGTAATCCTTTCCTTCTGGAACCACAGAGATCCAAGGTTTTGGAGTCAGTGGAGGTCTGAATCTACCTCCATAGAAAGTCAGAGGCATGGCTGGGGAGGGACCCCCTCATCAGAACTAAAGAGGATGGATGAGATGAGCTCTAGCTTAGTCTAGAAAGTGTCCCCTACACTCCAAAGCATGGATGACCAAAAGTTCCATTCAGGCAATGGATAGGAAGGTTGAGTTGGCATTGAGAGATGAAAACAAGTAACAGATGGTGATGAGGAACATCCCAGGACTGAAGAAATGTGGTTCCCAGAAAGGGAAGAGGAAGGAGACATTGGCAAAGTCTTACTCAGCAACTGTGACAGCTTGGCCAGGGAAAGCTGTGGGATATGGCTGAGAACGCATCTGTGGTATCAGAGATACTGGGGGGCTCAGATACTCATTGTTCTGTCACTTCTTCTCATGCTCCTTTACCATACCCAGACTAACAGCCTTGGTGGCCAGGTTGGACTGGTCAAGAAAGGCAGGAATTGGAAGAGATTAGACAGTGGCCTCAGAAACCTCCCCGTGGAGGAATCGCTCCCTGCAGCCAGGCTTTTTTTCTGGATGATAAGTAATAAGCAAGGTCTCTTGGGGGTGTGGTCCCAGACTGAATCCAACCTGGCAGGGCAGCAGGAGGGACATGGGGGCCAAATGACTTAGGGTTTGTATGGCCCAAGCCCCTCCTGGCCCTTGACTTCCCACCAGGTGCTAGAGGTGGTGCGAGCCAACTATGACACGCTCACATTGAAGCTGCAGGATGGCCTGGACCAGTATGAGCGCTACTCAGAGCAGCACAAGGAAGCTGCCTTCTTCAAAGAGCTGGTGAGTGAGCCCCGTCTCTGTCCTGCCTGTGCCTCTTGGGGGCCCTTTCCCAGTCACAGGGTCCTGCTGTGCAGATGAGCAAAGGCTGATGAAGTAAGACTGGAAGGGTCTGCTGGGGTTGGGTTAGCAGCTTCTCTCCCAAAGCAGTCCAGGAAGGACGAAGCAGCAAGAGAAGAAGATATTCCCCTGGGTACTGGTGCCACACTGGGAAGGGTGAAAAGCCTGAGGCAGCAGTGCCCACCTCTCCTCTGCAGCCATGGAGACAGTCCTTGCACAGCTCCAGCTGGGCCTGGAGTTTGATGTGTGTTCCCAGTGGCAGCTCTGGCTCATTACTCCTTATCCTGTCCTCAGAGCAACTAAATGGGAGTAATTGATTCTTCTCCTCCTTCTGCAGTCACTTCTACCTAAATTCCTAATAGGATCCTGGTCTTAGTGCCTTCCCAATCTAGTTCTCCAGTCTTCACTCCCTACCCCTGCTCCCACTTGCCAGTCACTTAGCTTCCTGCAGCCCCCTCCCTTGGCCACCTGGAGCTATTGAATATTTGTTCTGCCCCCTATTCCACCTCCCAGTCAGCATCTCCAGGGAACTGGACTCACTCTGCTGATGGTCCCTTTCCTGCCCTGTGCTCACAAGCTACTCCCAGGAAAAGCTCAGTCTCCTTGTAGTCCTGCCACTCCACTTGCCTGGTTGTGCGTGAGCATCCCGGCTGGGGGCTGAGACCAGGACACACAGGCCTCTGTACCTACTTTCCGTGTCCTCAGACCTCCCACTGCTTGGGGCAGAACTTGCATCAGCCCAGCTTTTACTTTCCCATGCCCAGTCTGTTATGAAGGTGCTGGATTTTAGACCATCTGTCTTGTGCTAAACTCAGCCCAACTCTGACCATGCCACATGGCATTCCTGGGATTTCGGACTTCCCCTGAGGCAAATATTCCCTGAGGTGAGTTGATTGGGAATGAGGAAGCCATTAGTGTAAGGAGATAGCAGAGTAGAGTATGTTTATGGAGTGGTTGGCAAGTCTTCAAGTAGGGGGCTTACTGGGAGCCAAGTCTTAACAAAGACAGTAAGTTATTAAGAGATGAAGAGGTTGTAGAGGAGAGAGTTCGAGCATTTCTGTCTTGAGGCTTTTGGGCTCTAGCCTCTGCCTTACTCAGTTCTCCTGTCTGTTCCTCTGGCACAGGGGAGCGAAGAGGGTCTGGTCAGGATTGAACCTAATGAGCTTGAATTGCCTGCTGTTTGCCATGCTGCCCTTTGCTCTACTTCCTCCTTGATGACTTCATTAAGTTTCCCATAGCAAAGCAGAAAATGAAGAAAAGCTCCCTGGACTTTGGAGCCTAGGACAGGTGTACATTTTTTTTCCTTCCTCCCCTGCTTTGTCTCTTGTGTTCACATCTATTTCCCATGAACGAATCTCTTTCCAGAGTCTGCTGGATTCCTTTTAGAACCACTCAGAGCAGGGAGTTTGGCTCTCTGGCCCCTTTCCCAGAGGTCCTTTCCCTTGCTGACACAGGCAAGACTTCCTGCAAGGTTCTTGGTCTGTGGGTACAAAGTGTGTGAGGTGAGCAGTGGGGACATAGCAAGAATATGGCCAGACTTTCTTCTGAAGTGGGCAGCATCTTTGTGGTATGGAGATGCTGGACCAGGAGAGAAACCTGCATCCTGCTCCTAAGACTGGGTCTCACCACTATATGACCTGATCCTGGCCATTGGCCTCCTTGGATCATACTCCTGCCATCTATGTCAGACAAGGGCTGCACCTCTAAACATTCTTTCCAACTCAGAAAAGTAGATAAATACAGAGGGTGGTTGAGGAGACTAGAAGCACACCCAAAGAGAAGTAGCTCCGGAGCATGAGTCCTCTGGCCTCAATTTCTCCTCCGCCAACAGACCACTGACCAGACCAGTCCCCTCTTGCCTGGCTGTGGCAAGGACAGAGGCCTGACCTCAGCCCTCCTTCTCTGTCTGTGCCTGCTTCTTCCTCTTCACGTGCTCACTCTTCTCACATCCACTAGAGTTTGTCTCTCAGTCCCTCTTTTCTTCACACTGTCTGCTCACTTACTTGCAGGGATGATAGCTGTTAAGGGTTAATTTCCTAAGAGAGAAACTTCCAGCACTGCATCTTGGCCTTGTGCTTCACCCTAGCCCCTGCTGTTTGTAACAGACTCCCTTCTGTTTTGTCTCTGCCCTCCCACCTTTTCCCAGGTTCGATCCATTAGCACCAATGTCCGGAGGAACCTGGCCTTCCACACACTCAGCCAGGAAGTCCTGCTCAAGGAGTTCTCCACTATCTCCTGAGGCCACGCATACCTGAGCAGCCACTGACCGCCCTTACCCATCTGGGCTGGAGAGGGAGCGAGGGGAGAGGGCCTGTTTCCAAGGTTGGAGAAAAACACAGATACCGAGTTCTCTCGGTGAAGGCCGTACTTCAGTGGAGCTTGGACAGCAGGGGCCAGGATGGGCAAACCAAGGATAATCTTATTTAGGGAGGGGATGGGTGGGCACAGGGAGAAGCCTTCAAAAATGTGGGGACTTCCAGGGTGGGCTGCTTGAATAGCTCCTCACATTTCCAATTGAGAGTACAAGTTGTGGCTACTGACTAATTTTCAGGAGCTGTTGGGGCAAGCCTTAGGTTGATGCCGACACCCTAGGGATCAGTGGCTCTCCTAGGCTTCTGAAAACAGACTAACTCTCAAATGTAGGTGGAGCCAATTCTGCTTCCTTTGAGCTGAGCTGGGCCTGAAATCTGTGTCCCCTGCCCTCCCTGGCACTTTGTCCAGTCATTAGGGCCTTTCGCTCAGGCTTAGGGGGAGGTAGGAATGGGATACCTTTTTTCTAAATCCAGAGCTGACTCCTCTGGGAGAGTGGAGATTAGAATCTGCCCAGTGCTCTGCTGTCCAGCTACCACTTTCTGGATTAGATTCTTGGCACCAGGAGTACCTGTTAGCTTTCCCCTGCCTTCCAACCCATTGACTCGTCAGCACTACAGGGTCACAACCTTAGCTTTTTATTTTCAATCTGATTTAAACTGTCTTAGAGTATGTGTGTGAAATAAACATTGATAGGTTTTCTGGAGCCCTCAGGTGCCTACTTTGCTGGTTCGCTTTCCAGCAGCTTCCCCACCTCCTTAACCACCCCCTCCTCTGGGAGCCTCTCCTGCCTCTGCTGAGCTCCCCTCCACGTGTTCCACCCCCTCACCCGGCTGTTGTTTACATCCAGCCTGCCTGAGAATTTCCTCTGGGGAGGAATCTGTTCCTGCTGTGGTCTGGTGCCTGGGAGGGAGAGAACTTGCTGGGGCCAGGCTCTGAATCAGGCCAGGTGAGCATCCTGGAGAGGCCATTCTGTCTACCCATATTCTGGGTGGAACCACAAGCAGTTCTCCTGACCTTTGGGAAGTTGGCTTATGGTTCCTCATCTGGACAGCCTCCATGGGACTACTGTAGGCTTTCCCTGCCCTACAGCTGCCTTCAAAGTAGCTGCTACTCTGAAATCCTCCCTTTCCAAAGCACTTTCTAAAGCCCTTAGGATGGCAGCCAGCAAGCAGCACAGAAAGAATCTGGGAGTAGGTGCAGGAATCCAGCAAAAAGAGCAGGTTTGGGACCTCCCCAGCTTCTATTCTACTGGACTTAGATCTCTTTTGGATACATGCTCTCCCTGGGAACCAGAGTTCTGGCTCCAGCATTCAACAGATAGGTACTATTTCCAGAGAATCCACCAACATGCTGCCAGGTACAGTTGTAGACTCTTACGAGATCAGAAGCTGGGTCATCTCTGATCACTAGATGCCTGAGACATTTAGTGTTTTCCATTGATAAACCCCAGAGGAGCAGGAGCTGGAAGCTGGTGGCAAATTGGAGTTATTAAAAATTGATTTGTATGGGACCATCTTTTTAGTGTCTTTTTCCCCCACTCTTTATCTCTGTTACCCAGCACTCATTTCTCAGAGACAAAGTTAAGGTAATCTCTCAGGCACTGGTCTCATCTGGCTAGGGGCCCCTTTAGAGACTCTGTTCCTGAATCTCCTGTCCCTAATGGAAGCCAGTTCAATTCAGAAGTTGTAGTCTCCCTTGCCTTTTGGGTGGAAGGAGGGAAAAGAAAATCCTTTTACCTCCAAACTTGCTGTTGAGGCCAGTCAGCCTATTTGGGCTGTTTCTGGATTCCTGCCAGCCTTTCCTATGAAGTGATTAAGGGCTAGTCTAGGGCATGATGCAATAAGCAAAGCCCTCCATTGTAAAGACCCATCTCTTGACCCATTTACACACCCATTCTAAAAACTACAAACAGGAGTCCCATCCTTTCCTAGAGTTCAACCCCAAAAGGAGCTGCCTATACTCTGTCCGTGCCCCAGTGTGTATGGCAAGTCTGTGGAGAATCCTCCAGATTCAGGGGAGAGCCAGGAGCAGGGCATTGCTCCCAAAATAATCCCTCCTTCAGCTGCCCCTCTCATGCCTGAACTCCCACCACAATTCCTCCTGAGTTAATTGAATCAAGCGCTTGGAAATTAATCCATTTGAAGAGATTAAATGTGTTGGGGTCACTTTAGCTGAAGCTTTCAGTCTTGGCAGGTCATTCCTGCAGAGGAGCTGTTGGACAGGAAGGATTACCTGGGACACTGCCACCATACCATCCAGACACATCAGACATTGCCACCACCACCCCCAAATCCTCACAATGGCTGGGGGGCTCATCGGCTAGGAGCCCAGGAAGCATCCTGGGAAAGGTCAGACATGTAGGATCAGTATTCAGTAGCCATTCCTGGGAGCCAGAGGTAGCCCAGCTCTATGCTAGCCCCTGGCTTCAGAAAAAAGGCTAATCTAAGGGAAGGGGGCTTCATAACAAGGGTATTTCTCCCCCACTCTTACCTGCCATCCTGAAACCCCTCAGTCGTTCCCCAAATCTTCTGGAAAACAGAAGGAATCTAGGACAGGGCAGGTGACGGAAGAGAACAGGGCAGGAAAGTTGAAAGAAAAAATGGGGGAGGAGGGGACAAAAGAGCAAGAAAGTCTTGAGAAACTGACCTGGTTCACTCTTTTCCTTTTCTTCCCAGTTGGCCAACGAAGGTCATTAGATCAGGGAAGAAGGCACTCTTGAGAGTGAATGGGGCCCAGAGGCAGGGTCCTTAAGTGGGTGAGGGTTGGAGTCCTTCCAAGAGAAGAGAAAATTGTAGTCCACTGACCTGAGATAAGCCTGTATTAGAGGCTGGGTTGATCTTTGCGTCTCCAGCCCCCTTCAAGCAGGGTGGGCACTGATGGGGGCTACAGAGACTCATTCATGAGAGGAGAACAGCAGGAAAATAGGGGCTTACCTGCAGACTGACAGGACAGGGGACTTAAACATAACCCTGGCCAGGAGTGACAGTGGGAGAAAGAGTGCTGAGAATCTGGGGCGGGGATTTCTCATAGAGGGGCCTTTCTGGTCCTACTCCCTCCACCCCCAGCACCCAGGGCTTCAGGTTTGGTGGGGAGTGTTGCAGGAGAGTCAGTCTCCCTCCCAGCACTTAGCTCACCCTTTCACCGGGTGCCTCCCCCGAGCTGCAAAGAGGAGGGGGCGGGGGTAGGGGGAGCCAATCCCGGCAGCGCCAAAGGGGGGAGGTGGCGGTGACAGCCGCGGGGAGGGGGCGGGAGGAGAGAGGCTGCTCGGCTCCGGCTCCGTGCTCTGTTCCGCTCTGCCTCCGGCTCTGCGCTCACCTACTGCCCAAGCCTCCCGCTTCTGCCCCAGGATCCCCAGGTGGGCCCTAGACCCCCGGCCCCGGTCCCCAGACTCAGCCCCAGCCGGGACTCTCCCGGCCCCCAGCCCCGGCAGCGCGCTACGCCGCCAGGGGGCGCCGTGTGAGCGCCCCATCCCGGCTGCCGGGCGCCCCCTCCCACGGCCCAGGTGGGACGGGAGGGGGGCGCCAGGGGCCATGCGGGGCCAGAGCCGTAAGGAGAGTTTGTCCGATTCCCGAGACCTGGACGGATCCTATGACCAGCTCACGGGTGAGTTGGTGTCGCGGGGAGGAAGGGTAGATTCCGTACCCCCAGACCCTTAGGCCTCTCTGACCCTGGCCAGTCCCTTACCCACACTCTGCCCCATTCCCAGGCACCCTCCCGGCTGTTTTGGGCAGCAGCACACTGAGGTTCAAAGCCTTGGGTCCTGCGGGGAGGAGGTGGGGGGTTGGTTTCAGGGGAGAGCAGGCATGCAGGTGGGGAGAGGCAGCAGGTGTGGGCGTGTGTGACACAAGGCTAGGAGGGTGTCTAGAGTGGGAGGTGTTACGTGCGTGAGCGCCTGTCATTCTTTGTGTCAATGTGTGTATATATGTGTGCGCCTCCCACAGCTGGTTGCCATATGCCCTAGGCTTGGTGACAGCCAGGGTGAGTGTGATTGTGTGTGGCTGTGAAATAGTATGATCTTGTCAGATGTTTGAGTGAGGTTGTGTAGGACCCTGATTTGACTCATGAAGTTGTTTTGACCATGCATCTCTGTTCTATGTGCAACTAACTGCGTGCTTTGAGTGTGTGATTCTGTATGAAGTGGCATGTGACTACCAGTTTGTGTCAGGTCTTCACTTTATGGTGGTATGTCTCTTTCTTTGTAAGACTTTATGACTGTGAACTCCTGGGACAATCATTTGTTGAAGTGGTTTGTGTCGTGTTTTGTGATTGTGAGACTATGCAGATTATATGGGTGTTTAACACTGATTTTGTCCTTTTGTGTGGTGATGTCTGCAGTGTCTTACCCTTGCTACCTCTCTGGCTTCCTGGTGCAGAAGGGGGTCTTAAGTGCACACCACTGCTTCCCTACCTTTTCCACATATAGCCCAGGTGGACCCAAGGGAGGGATTCTGGTGTCCATCTGCCCAGCCTGGGTGCCAGGAGCAGCACCTGGCTCCTGTGGGAAGGTTTTGGTTAATGCTGGGTCAGCCACCCTCCAAAAGTATTTAGAGATCATTCTTAAAACTGAAGCTTCTTCAAACCCCAACAACCCTCCCAAAACTTCAAACTAGAGGAAAACACACCCTCTTGACTCCCCTCCAGACCCAGAGGTAGAAGCTCTAGGCCTGGGCAGTGCCACGTGGCCTCCCATTGTAAGTATCCCCCCAAACCACTTTGCTGCCCAGGCATCCTCTCTCTCCCACACTGGGGAAGTATGTGAGACCAGTACATCTGTGCCTGTGCATATTCCTGGGTTTGGTAGGCAGATCCATGTGTTTGTGTGGGTGACTGTGTCACCTTGTGTGCATTTCCATGTACGTGTGTTTCTGTCTTATTGTGTAGCTTGCAGAAGAACTCCAATAGACATGGGAGGAGGGAGACTGTCTCACTTGTCTGTAACAAGCTGGGGAGGTGAAGGAAGGCCACGATCCTTCTGTCCTGCTCCGAGTGAGGTTAAGACTTGGGGATGGGGGAGAGGGCTAGGTTGTAATGCCTTGAAAAAGTGTCTCCCTGACTCACCCACCCTGAGGAAGTTGAATCCCTATGCCAAAACTCCCAGAAGGAGGAGCCCTTCCACTCAGGCGGCCCCAGGTGTGCCCTAGATGTGTCTCAAACCTGGATGGATTCTAAAGGTCCAGCTGACTAGCTCTGATTTGAACTCTGTTCTCACCAACTCAGGATCCTTGAGAGTAGTAAGAGTCTCAGGGCCCTCGTTAGCACCACATTAGTCAGTGTTTGCTTCCTTCTTTAATTGATTCTCCCTTTTAGTGGAATCATCCCCTCCCCACTTAGCTGTTTGAATCAGAGATTGGGTGGAGATGGGGAAGCACTTGCATTGGAAGATGCAAGAATGGAAGTGTGAATACCAGCTTTGTATGACTTGCTCTCTGGACCTTTCTTTTCTCATCTGTAAAATGGGAAATACTGCTTCCTACCTGCCTTCCTCCCACGGGAAATAGTTCAAATCTTGACAAGCATCAAAAATCGTGTTCCACGTGATCAGCATCCTCGCCGTAGATAGCTCCACACACGACTTGGAAAGCAGAAATAAGACTGCCAGGAGCTCTCCTCTGGAAGAAGGGCTTATCTTACAGTGGGAGATAAGTGGGGTTGGGAAGCTGGAGTTATGGCTCCGGGTGCTCTAAGACGCAGGAGCTGAAGCCTGAATGGGAGTCGTTGTCCGCAGTGCTGAAGAGCGCGAAAGGCCGGGGGTCCAGTCAGACCATTCAATTTTCCAACGTTCCTTCCCTATTCTGCCGGGATTCCTGGGATCGGACTTGAGGGAATTCTTTGGCTCCAGTCTCCTCGGCCTATCAGGCCGACCGGAGGGGGCGCCAAAGCCATACCTCAGGGCATCCTGGGTTGCTCTAGCAGCTTTTCTTCCCCACTCCTACCCCAGGCTCAAAACAAATCTTGGGGAGACCTTTAGGGGAAAAAAATCTGAGCCCCACTCCTCCCCGCATCTAACCCCTCCGGTCTTCCCAGCCCGGCAGGGCAGCTTGGCAGTGCGGCGGGGTGGGAAAGGCAGCGATAAGCGGCGGTCCTGTCCGAGCTGGAAGCAAAGAAAGGACTGGAGAAGATGAAGGAGTTGGGGCCTGACTGACCACAGTCAGATCTCGGGTCCCTGCTGGGATCTCTGGAGTCCTGTCCCTCTGGCCATAAACGTCGTTCCTTGGACTGGGGCGCCCCCATGTGGTCTTAGAGGAGGCATGGTTGTGAAGCTGATTCCAAAAGGGGATGTCGCCAAATCTAGTGGCAAGATTTCATGGAGTTCGAAGGTTGACTATCGCCTCGTAAATGTAGGATTTTCAGCCAAAAATTTGGGATCTGGGTTGGAGGGGTGGGATGCCCGTAGGCCCTCCCACCAATTTGAAAGCGTTAGTGGGTCCTGGAAAGGTTTACGTTGGCTGAAACCAGATAGCGATGAGTCCAAGAAAGGTGTCTGGGCCAGGACTGTGGGGAGGGGGCTTC